TATATATATATATATATATATATATATATATCTATCTCTTCATAGATTGTATGGAATCTTCATATTTTATTTTCTATCACTAAAACTTTAAATCTTAACATCAAACAGTAACATAAAAAAAAATTGTTTGTCCAAAGTTTTGCTAAACTCATAAGCTACAGATTGTAAAGACTCGTTCGATGTGAAAGCATTTTAACCACATGTTTCTATAATCACGTTTGTTACATGGGTGAATAAGGGTAATGAGTTATTTGATATGATATGATATGATATGATATGATATGTAGGGCCATATACATGTCGATAGTCCTTTACTCCAATGATGTACTTAAATTGGTTCAACTAATTGATTAAATGATAGACTGGAAAAAATATGGTATCGTCAAAAGGAGAGTAATTGTGAGATAATAAAATCATCCTAACGTATTCAAATTGCTTGACTAGTATCATTTCTCATTTTGACTAATTAGTGTCGTGTTGGAATATCATTACTTTGATCACCGTAAACATCACATACATCTTATCAAAAGATTTAAACATTATTAGAACGTGATATGAATAACAAGTTCGAACTTGACAAGATAAATTACAGTAATAATGTTGAACCTAACATAATGATCTCTAATATATATATATATATATATATCGGGGTAAGATCAAATGTTAACCAAAGTTTTTGTGTTAACTTTGTTAACCGATCTTGGCCATTCAATATTTCAATAAACGGTTGTGATTAATCATGATAAAAACTTATTTTTTTTAAATTTAAAATTGCATAAAGATAAGTGAACAATGTTTAAAAGGGTATTTAGGTAAAAAAAAATTATGTAACTCCCATATCATTAATTAATTGGAAGTTACAAAATCAAAAATTCTATGATATTTTTTGTTAATGTAAGAACCATATGAACACAACTATATATATATGAACCATTATGTCAAATACGAACAAAAATTTGACATATATATATGAACTTGGACTGCATAGCATTTATGAACACAATATGAACATAATAAGAATAACTGTTATACGAAAGGAAATAAATAAAAAAACAAGTATGAACACGATATGAACAGCTTGTGGACAATAGTTCTTTCATTATAAACACATTCAGGAGCGATCATTTGTCAATTGGAGTTTTATACATGCATTGCATCCACACCGTTTAAGGTTCACCCCTTGTTGTATGTTTATGATCTTATATGGTTGTTCACCCCTTGTTCATATCGTGTTCACCTCTTGTTCATATCGTATAAAATATATGAACACATAACCATGAACACCGGGTGCAAACACTTACACAAATATAAAGATTTGGTATCAAGCTTAAAAAATAACATTTGTGTTCATATGATAGAAGTAACATGAACACAATGGTTCATGATTCATAAAAGTCGATAATATAGCAATATGAAAATGAGTTGTGCATATACTTCCATTTGAACATGTGAATTATGTACGCATTTTAATAATTAAAGAAAAAAGCTATCAATACAAGATGAGTTATAAAAAACACAACACATCGTAATGAACATAATTTCGATTAAAACAAATCTAAAAAAAAATAAAAATCTATTACCAAGACATTCGCTTTTGTTAATTTCTTCAATTCCCGACCTTGAACTCCGATTGTCATCATAAACCATTTTAATCTTATAATTGTTGTCGATTTATTTTCCATTGCGTTTATCCATATTAGCTTGATCGGTACCGAAAATTTTTACTGCCGTATTTTCTGTGCGAATTAAAAACTGATAAAACAATAAACATGGAAGATCAATATTAAAAATAAATAAAAATATTAATATTATAAATACATATATTTTGGGATTGATGATTTGTAACTCCCTATTAATTGTTTGGGAGTTACATATCAAATAAATTTACTGAAATACCCTTGTAATTAAAATGTGAACATGACATAAACCTACAAGAAGAATGAAATTTGATTGGTTGCCATGGTTTTCAAAGTTAACACAAAGTTGTTGGTTAACATTTGATCTTCCTCATATATATATATATATATATATATATATGGGCTTAATCAAATGAGAACTGAGTTGTTTGTGGTAACTGTGAGATCCAATATGAGCCAATCATTTAAAAAATTAATGTTATATCCTAAAATAACATAAAGGGTAAATTGGTAATGTTATAATTATAAAACCCTAGATACTTTAGGTACTCTTCTCCTTCGTCTACTTCTTCTCCGGCCACCCCCATCTACTTCTTCATCGACGGTTTCCCCTTCCACAACCATCTCATCTTCTCCTTTATTAGAAAACCTTATCTCTCTTCTTTGATTTGGCCCCATGAAATCAACAACCCTTTTTGGTTTTGCTTTGACTGTTTCTTTGATGGCTTCAAAGCATTGACTGGGACTTGCTGGAGTGGTTCACGAGGAAGACGACGGAGACGAGACACGACAGAGGCCGTGCGAAGGGGAAGGTTCGGGTGTGCTTTGCCTATTTCCTCGTCCCTGTGTTTGTGTTAGTTCGTATGGTGGTGCAGGGGTGCGTGCCTGTGTTGCGGAAGGTGAAAGGGAGAAGGGAGATAAGGAGATGGTGGCTGCAACAATGAAGGGGTGGCCGGAGAAGATGGATTGGGAAAGGAGGAGACGGGTGAAATTTTGTGGTACATGGTGGTACCC